CAAATGCTCTGCTTCAGATCCAGCTCTCTGCTGTTGCCTGGGAAAGCAGTAGAAGATGGTCCAAATCCTTGGGCCTCTGCACTTGTGTAGGAGACCCAAAAGAAGCTCCTGGCTCCTGGTTTCAGATTGACACAGCTCTGTCCATTCATCTGGGCCATTCATCTGGGAGTGAATCAGCAGATGGAAGACCTTGCTAACTGACTCTGCCTCTCTGTAACTTAGGCCGTATATAAGGACTTTTGAAAGTCTTAATCTTGGGCTGTAGCATAGCAGGTAAAGCCATCTCCTGAAGTTTGGCATCCCTATGGGCTTTGATTTGAATCTCAGCTGCTTCACTTGTGGTTCAGCTCCCTGCTGATATGCCTGGGAAGGCTGTGAAGGATGGTCTAAATGCTTGAGCTCCTACAACCAAGTGGGAGACCCAGAAGAAACTCCTGGATTTGGATCAGCCCAGCTCTGGCCATTGCAGCCATTTGAGGAGTGAACCAGTGGATTGAATGTCTCTCTCTCTCTCTCTCTCTGCCTTTCAAATAAGAGAATTAAATCTTTTTTTTTTTTTTAAACCTTCTGGAGTGTGTGTCTTTCTCTCTAACTCTGACTTTCAAATGAGATAAATAAATCTTTTTTAAGAAAAACCTGGTGGAGTGTGTGTCTTTCTAACTCTGACTTTCAAATAAAATAAATAAATATTTTTTAAGCAAAACCTTCTTAAGTGTGTAGACAGTATATACAGTATGTATAATCAACCAGACTCTGACAAATCCAACCAAAAAGTAACCATCATCATTAAGAAATGCTTCCAGGTTTGAATGCTGGCTTTGCCACTGCTTAGCAATATAGCATCTTGGGTAATCTCCATTCTTCTTCATCTGGAAAATGATGACAATAGTAGTATCTAGAGCTGAAGCAGAAATGAAATGGGACAACACATTTTAAAACACTACTAGCCATGTCTAGCATATAATCACTCAATGAATACTATTTTACCATTTTTACTACTACTGTGCTATCAGATTGTATCCAGTAGGCCACACTTGAGTTCCTATACTCTGAGCTTATAAGCCCAATCAACACATCATGCAGCTGCAGAGACTTGATGTCTCCTGTATCCTTCCCTAGAGTGTTCTAGACCTCATATAGGACAATGCATGGGTGAGTGCATGGGAAAGAGTTGCCATTGAGCATACAGCAGTGAGAAGACCTCCTGCCTTACAGAACAGTGGTTTATATAGAACAAAGTAGTCTGAAAGGGCTTGGAGTTGTGAGCTAATGCTGGGCTGATGAGAAAGAGGGAGAGTTTGGACTAGATTTCAGGGTCCTTTGAGATAACAATGTGAGCCTGAAGAGTTTCAGGCTGAGGACTGTGTCCAAAAGTCAAGGCAGGACAGGCCTGGTTAAAGTAGGGTGGAGCTGTATTGGCAAGACAGAAAAACAGGGGCCTGCTTGTTGCTATGTAAGAGGTCAACATGGATCCAAGGCTTTTGTCCTTGCTCCATCACCGTGTATGATAAAGTCAGAACAAAGCATGCTTTGATGAAGGTGATTTCTGGTAGAAATTCTACGATAAAAATGTATTCAATCACAATCTGCTGCAGTTCAGATAGATTTCACTCTTTAGCTAAAGGCATTCATGTTTGGTGCTTTTTAGCTGGGAATCTGAGAAAATGTCCAACCAGGGTAAATGCCATAAGAGTGGCCGTGGACTCTAGTAGAGACAACAGTGTGCACCACCAGTGACAAAGTCCAGCTGTAATTACAGAACTCCAAATCCCCCATGAGGGGCCACACAGTTTTCATCTTTCAAGTTCACAAGGTGTACTTATATTTTGCAAGAACTCTCAGTCAAGCCCCAAGCTATGTGTATGTTTTAAGTAAATATCATTTACTATACCTTTTGCAGGAAAGACAAACAGAAAGTTAGCCACATTGGGCCCTTCACGCAGAACTTCCTACATCACTACTACCATCAATTCTCATTTACAAAGAGGTTAATTGTGTGTCTTGGGGAAGGGGCAACAAGGATAGATTATTTTGCTGTCTCTTTGCTCTGTTTCTAGCCTGCAAATCTCTCCTCTTCTCTAGTATTCCCAGGTAAAATTTCAGATTGCTTCACTTGCTCACCTGTCTGCCTTGAAAATCTTTGATATGCTGGTTCACTCCCCAGATGGATGCATGGCTAGAGCTAAGCTGATCAGAAGCCAGGAGTCAGGAGTTTCTTCTGGGTCTCCAATGTGGGTGTAGGGGCTCAAGGACTTGGGTCACCTTCTACTGCTTTCCCAGGTCACAGCAGAGAGCTGGATCAGAAGTGGAGAAGCTGGGAATTGAACTGTTGCCCATATGGGATACTGGTCCTGCAGGCAGAGGTTTTACCCACTACACCACAGCGCTGACCCCATATGTCTTCTAATTTCCAAGTAACTGCATCATAGTGAGGACCATTGTATATGGTAGCAGTTAACATGATAGGCTTGATGATTTACATTTGGCTTATACATAACATTGACCCATGAAATTGTGTTCTAGATTTATGCAAACTTTGTGAGTTGATTGGAGGTAGCCTTTTGTTACTGATGAACATTAATGTGGTGAGAACATCTTATCCTTTAAAAATAAAATCCAAATTAAGATTTACACATGAGTTTCCATCTGCCTTCATCCACCATATTAAGCATTGAACTCCCGTTGACTCTACATGTAGATCTCAATGTAATGTTTGCCTTTTCTTCATTCTCACTGACACAGTACCTCTGCATGGATCCCACTAAATTATCTTTAATAAACCTTAATTTACCCACTGTCTTTTATTTTCCTTACTTTGTGTCCAAAGCCTTTTGTGATTCAGCCCACTCTCCCTGCCTGTATCTGATTGTTCAGTGTCTCTTACTTCAATTTCTAGGGAAAAAAAGTGGCTGGTTGTTCTTTCCACATACAACACAGAAGATTGTTCAATAAATGCTTATTAAATAAATGAATGGAATGCCTTATAGAGCAAGGGTGAACATTTGACCTGTTGGCTTGGATGGTTCCTGTTTATACACCTCAACCCTAATTGTGACAGTCTTCAAATAGATTTCTATTTCCTTATCTCCTCTACTAGACAGTTCTTGGGAGTTACACTCATATTTGCTTGTTTCTATATCCTCATTTATTCATTGAACTAAGAGACTTACTCTGTTGAGATGCTGAGTGAATTTCAGGGCAAACATTTTTCTTGTCCCCATGAAATTTTCAATTCGGCAAGAAAGAGCAATCTACCCAAAGAATATTGCCTGACATTGTAAAGACTAGTGTGAAGTCAATGGATAAAGATTTAAGCATTCCTAATCCACCAACAACTCTAATCCCATGAACTATAATTGACAGAAGCAATCATAAACATAGAACTCGGGCAGAATAGTGCGGGCGCACACTGATAGTGTGGGAAAAGATAGTTTAATAAAAGAGGAGTTACTGTAGTCTCAGGAAAAGGCTTGGGAAAAATTGCAGAGAAAACTCTTCTGGATCTAGTGGATGTGACACAGAGAATCTACAGGGAGAGCAAGGTTGCCCACCGTGCAGAAGCCCAGAGGTGGAGTCTGCATGCCAGCACCGGAAGGGGAGGTGACACAAAAACCTCAGTAACCCAAGACATTGGTGGGGAAAGGCAGAAAGAGAATAGATGGAATGAGGCTTGAAGCCCCGGGAAAAGTTAACCAGACTGACTGGAGGAGAGAAAAAAATGAATAAATAAGGGGAACCAGCATGGACACTAGCCCCTCTCTCCACTCACCTTACAAAGCCGAGCAAGATAAAGAGCAGGGGCCATTTTGGACAGACATAAAGCAGTGCCCTCCAATAGCCGAGCAGAAAAACCTGACTCTGGTGGGGAGAAATAACAGGAGGTTAGGACCTAGTGAAAGTGTGGAGCTAATGAACTGAGACTGTGAAAATCTGAGGGGAGGCTGAGAGAACTCGCAGAGTACAAAAACTCAGTAACCTTGGAAACCTGGTGAGAGACTGAGGAGAAATTTGAGACCACACTGAGGGCTGCATAAACTATTTGTGTGGTTCCAGTGGTAGAGCAGACGAATACCCACAGGGGCCAGATTTCATACATTGAGTACCCTCGATTCCACTCAGCTGTGAGGAATTACTTCCCTTCTGAGTCAAAGAGAGAGAGAGCACGTGAGCGAGCAAGAGAGACAACAACCTGGGTGAGTCACCTTTGGTACACCCCTAACTCTGAAGAACCAAACAGAGCTCTCAGGCCACACCCACCTCAAGCCTCTAAGAATCCATCAAAAGCAGACAGTCCACTTAGTCTAGAGTCAACTATAACAAGAAAAAGCACCTCAGCGAAGAAACCAAAGAATATCTCTAATATGCCAAGCAACAAATGCAAAAACCAAGGTAACAAGAACAAGGAAGACATTATGATGCCCCCAAATGAAATAGACACCCCAATTCAAGATTATGAAGATGATGAGATAGAAGAAATGCAAGAAGCAGATCTCAAAAAATTGATAAGGACATTAAGAAGTTCTCAGAAACAAATCTTGAAACAGAAATCCTTAATGGACAAGATAGAAAATCTCTCTCGTGAAAATGAAATATTAAGGAGGAATCAAAATGAAACAAAACAACTAGTACAACAGGAAACTGTGATAGTGACGAGAAATCATAATGAAGTGAAGAATTCAATAGATCAGATGACAAACACATTAGAGAGCCTTAAAAACAGAATGGGTGAAGCAAAAGAGAGAATATCAAACTTAGAACACAGAGAACAGGAAAATATACAGTCAAACCAAAGAAAAGAAGAGGAAATTAGAAATCTAAAACACAGTGTCAGGAATCTTCAGGATACTATTAAAAAACTCAACATTCAGGTTCTAGGAGTTCCTGAAGGCATGGAGAGGGAGAAAGGATTAGAAGGCCTTTTTAGTGAGATACTAGCAGAAAATTTCCCGGGTCTGGAGAAGGACAGAGACATCCTAGTACAGGAAGCTCATAGAACCCCTAATAAACATGCCCCAAAGAGATCCTCACCACGACACGTTGTAATGAACCACACCACAGTGAAACATAAAGAAAAGATCCTAAAATGTGCAAGAGAGAAATGTCAGATTCCTCTCAGAGGATCTCCAATCAGACTCACAGCTGACTTCTCATCAGAAACCCTACAAGCTAGGAGGGAATGGCGAGATATAGCACAGGTACTAAGAGAGAAAAACTGCCAGCCCAGAATATTATATCCTGCTAAGCTCTCATTTGTGAATGAAGGTGAAATAAAGACTTTTCATAGCAAACAGAAATTGAAAGAATTTGTCGCCACTCATCCAGCCCTGCAAAAAATGCTTAAAGATGTGCTACACACAGAAACATAGAAACACGGAAATCAATATAAAAGAAGGTATAGGAAAGAAACCTCACATCAAAAGATCATAGGGAGCTCAAAGCATATACCAGAAAATATCTTTGGGAAAATGACAGGGCAAAGTCACTAATTATCAATAGTCACAATGAACGTTAATGGACTCAACATTCCAGTTTAAAGGCACAGACTGGCTGAATGGATTAAGGAACAAAACCCATCTATTTGCTGCCTACAAGAAACACATCTTTCCAACAAAGATGCATGCAGACTGAAAGTTAAAGGTTGGAAAAAGCTATTCCATGCCAACCAAAAAAAAACCAAAAAAAAAGCAGATGTAGCCATATTAATATCAGACAAAATAAACTTTAACACAAAAACTGTAAAGAGAGACAAAATGGACACTATATAATGATTAAGGGATCAATTCAACAGGAAGATGTAACTATTATAAATGCATATGCACCTAATTACAGTGCACCGGTTTATTTAAAAGGTATGTTAAGGGATTTAAAGGGGGACTTAGATTCCAATACAATATTACTGGGGGACTTCAATACTCCACTCTCAGAAATAGACAGATCAACTGGACAGATCAACAAGGAAATAGCAGATTTAATAGACACTATTGCCCAAATGGATCTAACAGATATCTACAGAACTTTCAATCCTACATTTAAAGATTTTACATTCTTCTCAGCAGTACATGGAACCTTCTCTAGGACTGACCACATACTAGGCCATAAAGCAAGTCTCAGGAAATTTAAAAGAATTAGAATCATACCATGCAGCTTCTCAGACCATAAAGGAATGAAGTTGGAAATTAGCAACTCAGGAAGCCCTAGAAAGTATGCAAACACATGGAGACTGAACAACCTGCTCCTGAATGAACAATGGGTCATTCAAGAAATCAAAAGAGAAATCAAAAACTTTCTGGAAGTAAATGAGGATAACAACACAACATATCAAAACTTATGGGACACGGCAAAGGAGTGTTCAAAGGAAAGTTTATAGCAATAGGTGCCTACATGAAGACATTGGAAAGGCACCAAATAAATGAGCTTTCAACGCATCTCAAGGATCTAGAAAATCTGCAGCAAACCAGACCCAAATCTAGTAGGAGAAGAGAAATAATTAAAATCAGGGAAGAAATCAACAGGATTGAATCCAAACAAACATTACAAAATTGAGCCAAGTGAAGAGCTGGTTTTTTTAAAAAATGAATAAAATTGACACACCATTGGCTCAACTAACCAAAAAAAAAAAGAGAAAAGACCCAAATCAATAAAATCAGAGATGAAAAAGAAATGTAACAACAGACACCACAGAAATAAAAAGAATCATCAGAAATTACTACAAGGGCTTGTATGCCAGCAAACAGGGAAACCTATCAGAAATGGATAGATTCCTGGACACATGCAATCTACCTAAATTGAACCAGGAAGACATAGAAAACCTAAACAGACCCATAACTGAGACAGAAATTGAAACAGTAATAAAGGCCCTCCCAACAAAGAAAAGCTCAGGACCAGATGGATTCACTGCTGAATTCTACCAGACATTTAAAGAAGAACTAATCCCATTTCTTCTCAAACTATTCAGAACAATTGAAAAAGAGGGAATCCTCCCAAATTCTTTCTATGAAGCCAGCATCACCTTAATTCCTAAGCCGGAAAAAGATGCAGCATTGAAAAACAATCAAGGACCAATATCCCTGATGAACATAGACACAAAAATCCTCAATAAAATTCTCACCAATAGAATGCAACCACACATCAGAAAAATCATCCACCCAGACCAAGTGGGATTTATCCCTGGTATGCAGGGATGGTTCAATGTTTTCAAAACAATGTGATACACCACATTAACAAATTGCAGAAGAAAAACCATATGATTATCTCAATAGATGCCAAGAAAGCATTTGATAAAATACAACACCCGTTCATGATGAAAATCCAAGCAAACTGGGTATAGAAGGAACATTCCTCAATAGAATCAAACAATTTATGGAAAACCCACAGCCAACATCCTATTGAATGGGGAAAAGTTGGAAGCATTTCCACTGAGATCTGGTACTAGACAGGGATGCCCACTCTCACCACTGTTATCAATATAGTTCTGGAAATTTTAGCCAGAGCTATTAGGCAAGAAAAAGAAATTAAAGGGATACAAATTGGGAAGGAAGAACTCAAACTATCCCTCTTTGCAGATGATATGATTCTTTATTTAGGGGACCCAAAGAACTCTACTAAGAGATTATTGGAACTCATAGAAGAGTTTGGCAAAGTACAGGATATAAAATCAATGCACAAAAATCAACAGCCTTTGTATACACAAGGCAATGCCATGGCTGAGGAAGAACTTCTAAGATCAATCCCATTCACAATAGCTACAAAAACAATCAAATACCTTGGAATAAACTTAACCAAGGACGTTAAAGATCTCTATGATGAAAATTACAAAATCTTAAAGAAAGAAATAGAAGAGGATACCAAAAAATGGAAAAATCTTCCATGCTCATGGATTGGAAGAATCAATATCATCACAATGTTCATTCTCCCAAAAGCAATTTATACATTCAATGCAATTCCAATCAAGGTACCGAAGACCTTCTTCTCAGATCTGGAAATATGATGCTGAAATTTATATGGAGACATAGGAGACCTCAAATAGCTATAGCAATCTTGTACAACAAAAACAAAGCTGGAGGCATCACAATACCAGATTTCAGGACATACTACAGGGCAGTTGTTATCAAAACAACATGGTACTGGTACAGAAACTTTGTAGTATGCTTTGAATCAGGTACTATGATGCCTTGACCTGATTAAAAATTGGAATGACACAGATTACTAGGTATATGATCAATAGAGGGCTTGGCATTGTGGCATAGCCTGTAAAGCTACTGCCTGCAAAACCAGCATTCCATATGGGCACCGGTTTGAGTCCTGGTACCTCCACTTATGATCCAGCTTCCTGCTAATAGCCTGGGAAAGCTGTGGAAGATGTCCCATGTTCTTGAGCCCCTGAACCCATATGGGAGACCAGAAGAAACTCCTGGTTTCTGGCTCTGGCCTGGCCTAGTTGGCACATAAAAATCCACCGGTTTTGGTTTGTTCACATTGTAACTGATTTCATTGAACTGATTTATAAGTTCTAACAGCTTTTTGGCTTAGTGCTTAGTTTTCATCCAGGTACATCATGTAATCCACAAATGTTGATGGTTTTACCCCCTTCTGTACACTGCTGGCTCTCTACAGTTTTGTACACTTTAAAATATTTTGCAATAATTTTAAAAAAATATTAGAGTTATTCCCTTTTAAATGTTTTGTAGAATTTAGGGCTTTCTTTGATGCAAAACTTTTAATAACTACTTCAGTAGTATTCCTTGCTATGGCCTGTTTATATTTTCTGTATCTTCCTTGTTTAATCTTGATATGTTATACATATTCAGGAATTTATCCATTTCTTTGAGGATTTTCAATTTGTTAACACACAGTTGTTCATATCAGCTTTTCATGACCCATCATATTATGTGGTATCAATTGTAATTTTTACTTTTCTTCTCTAATTTTATTTATTAAAGTTTTTTCTTCTTTCTTTGGTTACTCTGGATAAAGGCTTTTCTGGTTTTTTTATCTTCTTAAAGAACCAGCTATTTGTTTTGTATCTCTAATATTATTTAGTTTCAACTTCACTTATGACTGTTCTTATATTTCTTATTTCTTGTGCACTACTATTTTTGCTTGTGGTTTATTTTTCTTTTTCTGGGTTTTTCAAATGCATCATTAGATAATTTATTTAAGATCTTTTGAATTTTAATGTAAATATTTGCCACTATAAAATTTCCTCTTAATACTGCTTTTGCTACATTCTATGATTTGATGTCATGTTTTCATATTAATTTAAAAAATTGTCTGACCTCTTTTTAAATTTTTCAAATGATATGTTGGTAATTCAGTCTCATGTTATATAATTTTCATGTACCTATGAATTTTCTATTGCCCTTCTTACTTTTTATTATTGATGACTACTTTGATTTCAGTATGAGAAGGTACATGGTATGATTTAAATCTTTTGAAGTTTTTTGAGACTTGATTTCTTCAGCAGTAATCAGTGTCAGCATTGTCTACATACACCGCAGGTCTGTTCTTCAGCCTTTTGTGAATGTTATAGTAAGACTTTGAAATGGCATGAGCTTCCATAGGTCCTTAGTTCCTAGAGAGTTGTCAGTCATACTTGGGTTTGTGATATCTGTATCCACATTTCTGGTTATGCTATCTTTTTCTATCAGGCAAATATGAGTATTTCTGGTGCTTGTGGGAGCAAAACTTATGGCCCTTTAACTATACAATGTTGATAAGACATTCCCCAGGTCCTGATGTTAGCCTGACTAATACCCAGAAATTTAGCATCATGAGCTCAAGTCCCAAGTTTGGGAAATGTTAAGGAGACATTCCCCTAGGCCTACAGGGTGAATACAGTTTATGCTGAGGGTTGTATACCAGCAGGTCTGGGTCTGGAGCACTGGAATGCTCAAAGGCTCCATACCCTAGGGTCTAGGTGTATTTACATGACTCTGAAATACAGTACACAGAGTGACAGCCCTGGAGATACAGGATACAGTGGGGTCCTTATCCAGGTCTCTCAGGTTGACTGCCAATTATTCCAGGGATTGAATTCCAGCCTGAAGCATAGGAATATAGTCAGGACTGTCTAACTCCCACAGATGAGTGTTATTCCAGGGTTTATAACACCAGCAGCAACAATCATAGAGCTTCAGATAGTGGAGAGAACTTTTCTTTGTGCCTACAAGGCATGCAAAAATGATGCACTGTCATGCTTTCCAGCACCATGTGGTAAGAGTTTCAGAAGAGGTATCCTTAGGTCTGGTACTCTGGTTTACATGCTACGCCACAGCACTGGCCCCAGTCTGGTCTGGAATTGTGAATGAGATGCTACTGGTTACTTGCCATAAGAGGTCATGGGAATTTCTCTATATCATACAGAACAAGCAAGTAGAGCTCCAGAGCTCCCGCAGTTGCAGGATTCACAGGAGCTGCTCTGTGGTAACTAATAGAGTACCTACAATGTAATGTATAGCAGTGAAGTTGATATTTTGAGTTTCAATAATCATTTACAGCTCTTGTCGCTACTGTTGAGGAACAGTATTTTTTCTACAAACTATCTTTTGAACCCTTACTTAGCTTAGGGTTCATCTTATGAGTATAAATAAACTGACAATAGATTTTGTAAAAATTAAGAGTGGGAATAGCAGAGGGAGGAGGAAGAAGGGAGGGAGCATGGGGGAGGAGGGAGAGTTGAGTGGGAAGTATTATTATGTTGCTAAATCTGTATATATGAAATACATGACACTTGTATACCTTAAATAAAAGTGGAAAAAGAAAAAGAATACAATGCACTGAGAGCTGTTGCAGGCACTGTGCTAAGTTCATTACATTCAATTCTTGTTTACTTAATACTTTATTTTTAACAAGAAATTTCTAGCATTTAATTCAGTGCATTTATGAAGAAGCCTTTCATACTTTAATAAATAAAAAATTAAGTACATTTCCTCTTCTGAAACACTATGACCATTTTAGTTATCTCAATTGGCAGAGTTGCAAGTCCATGCAAGTAAATCTAGAAAAGTACATAAGTACTTTGGAAAAGTACATAAAGAAACATGACACAAGCAAATGTCATATAAAATGCACAAATCCACTTTCACTTGTAGGAAGCTTCTAAAAGGAGACACTGTATTTTGTATTTTGTACTAAAAATTGTATTTTGTATTTTGTATTAAAATGAGCATCTTGTCTAGGAAAGAAGGTTTTAAAACAGTTTCGTGTTTATATAATAAGGTAAATAAATTTCTTACTAACTACCTCTATGTGAACTTAAAGTTATCATTAAATTCTAGAATTAATTCCAAAGATTGAAATGACTACCTCCCCTGTGAACTAGATACAACCTTACAGTTAATGCGTGCACTTCCTCCCCACCTTTCTTTTTCAAAAAAACAGACCTATCAATCATCATTTCACAAGCTGAAAGGCACTAAATAATTTTCTTCCTAGTACCACAGGAACCTAATAGCTTCAAGTCAAACAGATTATTGGTTTCCTGATTTTGACACTAAGAAATGTTTCAGAAAGTTATCAGAAGATGCCTTCAAAATTGCAAAAGCGTTTCAACTTGCTTAACTTTTTGAGAAATGAAATTATATTTTCCAATAAACATGCCTAGCAGAGTACCTGACGGAGATGATCAACACATCATCATAAATTTTTGTAATCCATAAGTCGTACTTTGGAAATTTATATGCATTAAATAAAAGTTTAAAAAAAAAGAAATCAAGAAATCATTAAAAATGTTTTTTTAAAACTCTTAAAAAAAATAAAAAATCAAAAAAAAAATTTTTTTTTTTTTACAGGCAGAGTGGACAGTGAAAGAGAGAGACAGAGAGAAAGGTCTTCCTTTTGCCGTTGGTTCACCCTCCAATGGCCGCCGCGCCTGGCGCACCGCGCTGATCCGATGGCAGGAGCCAGGAGCCAGGTGCTTTTCCTGGTCTCCCATGGGGTGCAGGGCCCAAGCACCTGGGCCATCCTCCACTGCACTCCCTGGCCACAGCAGAGAGCTGGCCTGGAAGAGGGGCAACCGGGACAGAATCCGGCGCCCCGACCGGGACTAGAACCCGGTGTGCTGGCACCGCTAGGCGGAGGATTAGCCTAGTGAGCCGCGGCGCCGGCCACATCATCATAAATTAAACCCAGCAAGCATACCCTACTGATTGTTTGCACTTTTTATGCATTTGTTAATTTTATTGAATAGACACACTGTCATATAATGAAGATAAATGGGTAAAGTTCTGTCAATCTTATGGAAAAACATAAAGGTCACTGTTTTATAAGCAAAAATTTCAAGTTTGCACTTAAAAAACAAAATTAAACAAAAAGCACACTGGTGAGGTGGTTTTCAAGGGGTGACACACTCTATTCAAAACTGAGAAAAGGAAACAATATTGATGTCCCATTCTTAAAAATTAGTCAGATTTTCCTTAAAAATAAGGTAGACACACCTAGTGCTGAGTTCTCCTGAAATTGTAAAATGTACATTAAATTAAAAAATACCAAAAGTGGACAGCTCCACATAAAATGAGAGAATACATTTCCCTAACCAAATTCAGAAAGAGCCCTGATTTCCCCACCACTGAAATCTTGTTTTATTGGGCTAATGATGTTTCAATGCCCCTACTTTGTTGTTAGTGGCCAACAAATGGAAACATTCTGAATCTACTTTTTTTCCATCCAACTAAATAACTACTATGGTGATGAGACAGAAAAAATGAACAAATTAAATGCAAATACTTTAATTTCCCGAAAGTTTGATTTTTTCATTACTTTACTCCCCCCCAAATGAAAGAAATATTTTTGAAATGTTTCTAGTGAATTAGCATGGAAAAATTCTGTTTGGTACATTAACAGAGAAGCCATCAGTTTTCTCAAAGTATAGGAATTGCAATTATTTTATTATTTGGTTTGTGGTCATTTGTATTACCACAATTGCCATAAAAATGATAACTTCAAAATTAAGCCTACAAGCAGAGATAAATAACCATATGTCTATGAATTGCCCATGAGGCAAATGTTATCCCAACATCTCTTATGGATTTCCATTATTCATTATTGCTGAAAAATCACTTCAGAGACAAAACAATTTTTTTTAAATTTGTGACAACATCTTAATATTTCTGATAACTATATTCAATATCAGGTAGTAAGACTTATTTTCAGATGTGTTATATTAATGCATTTAAGTAACTAATAATGTATTTTAAGATAATTCTATTAATGTGTATGTTTAGTGAAGAAATTTTAATAACACCAGAAATTGCTTAAAAGTGAAAAAGTATATAATTTGAATGAAACTGGCTGATGTTGCAAGTTCCCTTCCAAAAGTGAAATTCTCTAACTCGATCAACTTAAAATTTGTTTTTATCACTAGGCATTTCTCTTCATAAAAATGTAACATTTAATTTCTTATCTAATAGTATAGTTCATTTGTATATTGTATGTAGTATGGGGTTTTTCTTAGCTTGTTATTAAAAAAAAAAAAAAAACTACAAGATTAACTCTTTGGCTCTCCTGAACTGAAAATAATGAAATGCTGTTCACTATGAATTGTTTTTTTAAAAAGTATATAAACATATGACCTTGGGAACATTTTTTGAGGCACAAAATCCTTTACATGACACCAGAAGTACATGAGAGACATTTAACACACACGGGTGCTTTCTAGCATGTCACGTGACAACTTGTAAGATTTTCTTGTTAATACCCTAGCAATATGCATGTTCATGATTCAGGAAAATCTGATGAGCTTGCAAGCAATGAAAATAATAGGTAATCCTGGTAGGAAGGAAAGCTTGAAGTTCTTTCCTTCTTTCCTTGAAAGCCCTAAGAAAGGGTGCCTTCTTCCACATGAGAGGCGGAAGGGCTAAATCTCAAAACTAGGTGGGAGGAGATCTGGACATTTAGGGACCTCCTGCCAGCCTTCATGCTATTAAACATGGTTTATCCCCTCTGTAACTCATGGGCACGGTTAATCCAGTGATGAGAAATTCAGCAGTGAGAACAGGTGGGGCCCTACAGGAAGTGATCAGGATAAACCCGTTCATGTGTTCATGGATTAATGGCTTATCCCTAGGGGCCGCTACATAGACCACTTTGGATTGGCCCCCTCTGTACCCCTTCTGTCTGTCCACTGGTCTCTGTGCCACCCCAGGCCTCTGCCAACAAGAAGACCACCACCAAACCCTGCCCCTCGACCTTGCACCGATAATGCCACTTCCTTCTCATGCGCCAAGCCTGTACTGTCATGCGATTAGCAACAAGAAAACTGACCCAGACCCGTATGCCTAGAGGACCGCTTGAGATCTGCTGCCTCACTCAAGGAAATCGGGTCATACAGAAAGTTCAAGTTCTCCCTGAGAGCTCTGCCATCCTCACCACACAGAGATTGGAAAGCTGATGCCCCAGGGTTCAAAGTCGCTGCAGGCTGGAATGCACACCACCCCGAGAGGTCCCCACGGCCGGCCCACTGCACACCAGGGTCATAGCGTCCTCCTCAGGGCTCCCGCGGTGCGGGAAACACAAACAGTAGCACCACCAGCTGAGCCACCTGGAGCCCCTCTCAGGAGGAGAACCAAGAAGCCAAATACTGCAGCACCATAAAACAAAACCCCGCGCCCTGCTGCAGTGCTTCCCTGATTAGACAGTTCCTTCAGACAGACCCTGAGCACGCACATCAAAGAAGCCGCATCCAATCAGAATCACCCTTAGCAGGAGGGCGGTCTCTTGAGATGGTGCTGGATGCAGGGAGTGCAAGGAAAGGCTGGGCCTTGGGTCTGAAGCTGCCTCGTCTTTTGCCGCTTCACCTTCCTAACTGCAGGGGCCGCTGTCGCCTCCCTGATGATCCCATCTCCTGGGATCTCTCTTCCTTCTCCATGATCCTGTTCGAACCTTGAAACGTGCTATCTTGCAATAATCTTCATGTGAGTTATGATTTACTGAATATTTACTAGGTTCTGGGTCTTTTCTTTGTATTCTTGGCTTATGCTCCTGTTAGATCGTTTGTTGAGCATCATTTGAAGAATATTTGAAGATATTACATAAATCAATCTTTGTCTCATTTCTCTAACAGATACTCATTTTCTAGTCTGAACATTGTCCTTTAATATGTTCCCTATTTTTATGGGTACATAGTAACACACATGATTGTTTATGTTGATCTTGTACCCAGTAATCTTGCTTAATTATCCTTTAAAATAAGACTTTTTTACTTGTTTCAAGGCAGAGTTACAGAGAGAGGGAGAGAGAGAGAGGGAGATCTTCCAAATGCTGAATTACTCTCCAAATGGCCACAAAGGCCAGAGCTTGGACAAGCCAAAGGCAGGAGCCCAGAGCTTCTTCTGAGTCTCCCATGTGGGTTCAGTGGCCCAAGCTCTTGGGCCATCTTCCTCTGCTTCTCCAAGAGTCATTAGCAAGGAGCTGGATCAGCAGTGAATTAGCTGGGTCTTGATCCCATGCCTCTATGGGAACACAGGTATTCACAGGTGGGCAGCTTTACCCACTATGCCATAACACCAGCCTCTGCAAAATTCTATCAGTTCATGCTTGCTTTTAGATTGTGTTAGATCATCTCTGTATATAAAGTGTCATTAATGAAAGGAGTCAGAGTGGGAATGGTAAAAGCAAAGAAAATAAAGGCCTTGCCCCAGAGCTGGGTCTACCCACTGCCTGGAACCCCAAACACTTTCCAGAGCCCCACATCCTAGTGAGTTGTACCATGAGCCAGACTTTTCTCTCTGACATCAATCTCTTGCAGCTATTCACCTCATCTCTCACTGTGACCTGGGCCACTGCAGCTGCTCCATGGCTCCTGCAGGTACCTGTCCTGAGCACTTGCCCCCAAACCCTTTGTTCCCCATTCCCCAGCCCTGTACATGCATAACCAGGTCAAGCCCAGGACATAGTGCCTGAGACTCCGTTCTTCACTCCTTATCACTCCTGTGGTACCAGGATAGTAACAAACTGTCCAGACTCCTCCCCATCACTCCATTCCCCTCTGCCTCTTTTGCTTCCTTCACTTTACTCTCCCAAGTCTGAATCAGGGAGTCTGAAACATTGCTCCTCAGGTTACTTGGCAAGAGAGATCTGAAGCTTGACAGGAGTGGGATCAGGCACCATGAACAAAGGGGAGAGAAAGGAAAGAGAGAAAAGAAATAGTTTAGCCTGGGCAAGAGGCTGGGGTGTAGAGTGCTGCTGAGAAGCCCTTCTGATGAAACAGGCTCTATCAAGGGTCTCTTCATGATTCATTGACTCCCTAGGATGGGGGCTGGGCAGATTCTGTACCAGGAGGGAGCTCTGCACTTAAGGAAGATGACAGGGCAGGTGTTTGAGGCAATGAAAGGACATGAAAAGGTTAATTAAAATGGAATTAAATGAGAAATTTGTGCAAAATGTTTTCAAAACCATGCAGAAATTGTTCATAATACACATTTATCATGACCTTTTTGGAGACCTCATCATACATCCTTGGAAGGCTTTAGGGAAACAGGTCAGAGGTCTGCCCTGGAATTGGGATGGGAAGATAATCCTGAAGATTTTTCAAGGGCAGCTTCGTTAAATGCTTGTGCCTTGGACATGCCAGGAATGGTACTGAAGGCATTTGCAGACATCATCTTTTCCTCTCAACACAACTCTGCCAGGGGTATTCTCAGCTTACAGACAAGAACGTGAAGGCTCAGAAGGGTTACATTACAGAACCAGGACTCAAATGCTAGTGTCTGATGGTCTGATCCCATGGATGTGTCCTGTGACAATGCACAGCCCTTCACCTATTGGGACAAGTCTGCTTTCTCTTCAGGGCAATCAAATGCCTCCTGGTTTCTAGAAGTTGCCTTCCTATCCTCACATCTCCCACCAAAAGTCCTGAATTTATGCTTTTCCTGTCAGGTGTGACCAGGACTGCGCCCTGTGAGCACCATGAGCACTACATCTGGCTGCTAGGCCTGGAAGTGCATCTGCCACAGTGGCTGGGCAGGCAAGTTCAGTGACAAAGGTAGGAAGGGAGCTGGTGGCTGGGGACCCTGCGTGTCTCCAGAGAAGACACATTCGTACTTATTAAGCACCTATTGTGTTCTGTACAAACCTTCACATACATGATATTTACTCATTTGTAAGTGTTGTATCTACCTGTTGTCCAAATTGATCTTCAGTATATTGCTGGAGGGCAGGAAAGGCAGTTGCTCACATTAAGCTCATTTTACAGATGAGGAAACCAAGGCCCACAAAAGAGCTACAACTTGCACAGGGGCAGTTTGTGTGAGACAGTTGGCCAGGAGTCTCCAAATTCAGTGTTGTTTCCCCCCAGAACCCCAAGCCCACCCTGGGGTGGGGCTTCAAGTATGAGCCACATCCACAGAGCCTTGGGTCCAGAGGGACTTGGCAGGAGTTGGGAGACAAAGGGGTCTGGGAGCCAGATGTAGGGGACCACATCACATGTCCCATCTCCTCTGCAGATGAGCACATCTGTACTGTAGTGCCCCCTGCCAGAACAGAAGGCACGTGTGTATGATGGGTTGGGAGTGCCACTGTGTGCCCACAACATCAGGCTCCTGCAGGCATGGTTGTGAGCAAGGCTGCACCCTGTGAGCAGGCAAGTGAGTGCTGGGCCCACGTGGTTACAATGCTGAGTGCCTCCTGTGGTTGCAGACAGTGGTGCCATCTGTCCTCATCACTCACCTGCCATCTGGGAGACAGCGGTGCCTGCATACATCCATTCATCAGTTCAGTACATGCCGACTCCCTTAATGCTAGTGGGATGGGATTCTGTGATGGAGTGAGGAAAGACAGGGCTGTTGAGAGGGTGGAGATAGATGATAGCTCATGCTTGCTAAGCTTTCTTGGCACATTCTCAATGATTTCTTCAAGAACAGTCTATGGGGAGGAAAGAAATTCTACTTTGCTTCTGGCCATGTCCAAATACTGATGGAGTCTGTGGTCACAAAAGGCTTCCATAGCCTTGGCAGCCCATGGTAAGATCCTCAGATGAGCATTGACATCATAAGTAAGAGTGTTAATTGTTAAAGGAACAACAGAAGTCACCGTGCACTTACTCCCCATGTAGGACCTCCATCCTTAATGAGTTATACTATGAGAATTAACTACAAAACTAGTTCTCAAACTGTACTCTATATGTTGTATGTGTGTATGGGGGGCAAACTGTTGAAATCTGTACGTAACATAGAGATGGTCCTCTGTATATAAAATTGAACTAAAAATGAACCATAATGAAGGGGATGGAAGAGGGAGTAGGAGGTAGGACAGGAGTGCGAGTGGGAGTGGGAAGGTGGGGATGAGGGAAAGAACTACTATATTCCTAAAGTTGTACCTATGAAAAATCCATTCACTAAATAAGAGCTTTTTTTTTTTAAAAAAGGAAAAATCTATGACAGCTGGAGGTGTAACAGACATATGTGGAACTGTTTGGGTAGTGGAGGTGGTGTGTGGGGAAGCTCAGGGGCCTAGAGATCCTCTCATCCTCCCAGAAAGCTGGCCAGTGGTCCTAAGAGCTCTTCCCATGGAATAGCTCAGTTATGCACCATGTGGATTTCTCTATGAGGGCTGTCTGAATGAGGAGCAGCCCCCAGGCTGGACTTGTCCTCATTTCCTCCTCAAGCTTTGGTGCCTCTGAGATTAAAAACAGCACACTGATCATGAGCCCTGTCATTAGGCATGCCCTGTGCTGACTGCTTGACATTGGATTATCTTATTTACCCCAAAGATTTAGAAGCTGGGTACTATTTTTATCCTCTTTGAAAGTGATGAATTCAAGGCTTAGAGAGAAAGTGACCCAATGTGATAGAGCTAGAAATTCTCACAGGATGCTGTGGTTAGGACACTGCCCTGAGCTATCCTGCAGGCATCAATGTCATCTTCCACCCTGACCCCAGTTCCCTATGCCAGAATGGTGGGCAGTGTCAAGATGCCCATGACTTAGTCTTCACCTCTACCTGTCACTTCCTGGCAGGCTCTGTAGGTGCCCACTATGAGGTAGATGTAGACAACTACCTGGTGTAGCCTGTGCCAATGGTGCTGAAGAGGAAATAAGCCTGCAACCAGAGATAAAGAAAGGAAAGTGGGACTCCCAACCCAATTTAGAAAGTGCCTACTTGCAATCATCAGAAACAGCTGCCCATGGTTATCCTGCCTTGGGAGGGAAGATGTCCTAATCTCTGCTTCCTGTAACTCCAGTCATAAATCTGTCCTATAAATCTGCCCCAGGTATCTCTTTTTATAAACACACTGGACCAACTGACCATTGGAAGTGTGGTCTCAAGTTAAGTAGACAGGTTCTCCATAAGTGGTCCTAAGCCACATAGACTGCAACTTAAATACACCAGTGCTGTAACGGTTAGGGTGTGATACTGAAGAATCTATAGATATTCTAAGGAACCTGAGTCCGAGGCTCAGTCTTGAGAAATGATTCCCTCTGAGCCTGCTGGAATTAAACTATTTTCGATACTCCATTGTCTCTGGTGCCTGTCTGAATGGAGTTTTCCAACCCCAGGTTATGGTAACAGTGCCACCTGCCTTGATGACATAAACCACTTCTGCCTTTCCCTGAGGTCTTTGCTGGATGCTTTTAAGCATCAATCAGGATGACTGTGTCAGCTACTCATGCCTGATGGGGGTCTATTTTGGGGGCCAAGTGTGTGACTTTGTCTCTGCCCCGCTGGCTATTGTAGCAAGAGTTGTGAGCTTGCCTTGCATTCCCAAACCCCCTCACCACATCTCTAGGGCTCACCTCAGCTGTAGTGGCACCTGTCATAGGGCCAGTCCCCCACAGTGCAGGGGCTGGTCTAGCACAGATCTCATTACAGAGGTTGTGTGAAGGCAAGAAGCTGGACCGGGGCATCTTGTCTGGTGGCCTTCGTGGTGTTTGGGGACCTCATTCCTACCCTGGTCCTGATCACAGTGTAGCTGACTCTGAGCATCTAAGACCACAGTATCTGTCTTCTGGATCCTCTTGCCATCCTGGCCCACATTATGCCAGCTTTTCATGACTAGCAGTGCCAGATTAGCAGCTTCCAGCAGTGCCCCCCCCGCCACCTGATCACCCCATGAGTCTAGAAACATCATAGCACTTTAATTGATGAGCTTTCTGGCCCCCTTCCTCACCTCCTTCACTCCTCAGGCTAGGGGCTGGAGGACCTTTCTTGCCACCCCTCAGCTCTGGCACACATACTAAGGGGACTTCAACCACACACCAAAAATATTATTTTTAGCACATAGAATTGTTAAGATGGAAATTTTACCAAAATTGAAAATGCAACTGGGCTCCTATGCCAGAAAGCCTACCTGGAGTCCCAGGTGCTTAAGGACCAGAGCAGAGACCTGGTTCTGGTTAAGCCTCCTCCTCCTCCATCTATAGATATTCCTATTCTGGACCTCCACATGAATTGAAAACTATAATATGGACTTTTATGACTGTCTTTTCCCCTGTAGGATGTATGTTTCAGTACTCTATGCCTTTGTGTGTCTGAAGTAAAAAATAAGTAACATAAAATTTACCATTTTAATCACTTGTGTGTGTCTAAAGCTCTATGGCAGTGAGTACATTCACATTGTTGCGATTCCATCTTCACTACCATCTCCAGTATTTTTTCATCTTCCTAACCCCAAACTCTGTACCCATTAGGTGGCATTCTATTTTAGGGAAAGAGAAAAACTGTATGAAAAGAATTTATGAAAATTGAATATCTGGGTACTGATTTTGATAAAATTATCCTTACTGTGATTCCCTGGAAAAGTGTACTTACATTCCAGGGTACTGTCATGGATGACTCTCCAACACCTTCTCTAATCTCCTATACCTTCTCTCCTTCTCACTCTTTATTGATGACATTGCTTCTCAATAAGCAGAATGAATAAGGACACCCACCACCACACCTACCCATTAATAGAAGCAGTGGGTACTCTGCCTGCCCTTCTATTAAATATGAACTGTCTGTCCCCTCATTGTCATTTCCTTGATGTTGATCTAGATTTACTCAAGGACAGTGGACCTACCAGCCATTTACACATATAACTGTATTTTATGCCTCTCTTAAATCATCAGCAGCAGCTTATACATCAGGCTACATTATTTGGTAAATCAAAAGCAAAACCTGAGCACCCTTTTCCATTCACCTACTGTCCCAAATCTCTATTTCTTTGTACATAAAAAACTTACCAAAGAATTACCTGCAGTTAGTTGTCGCTGATCAGGGAGAACATATGATATTTGTCCCTTTGGGACTGGCTTAATTCACTCAGCATGATGTTTTCCAAATTCCTCCATCTTGTTGCAAATGACCGAGTTTCGTTGTTTTTGACTGCTGTATAGTATTCTATAGAATACATGTCCCATAATTTCTTTATCCAGTCTACTGTTGATGGGCATTTGGGTTGGTTCCAGGTCTTAGCTATTGTGAATTGAGCTGCAATAAACATTAATGTGCAGACAGCTTGTTTGTTTGCCAATTTAATTTCCTTTGGGTAAATTCCAAGTAGTGGGATGGCTGGGTTGAATGGTAGGGTTATATTCAGGTTTCTGAGGAATCTCCAGACTGACTTCCATAGTGGCTTAACCAGTTTGCATTCCCACCAACAGTGGGTTAGTGTCCCTTTTTCCCCACATCCTCTCCAGCATCTGTTGTTGGTAGATTTCTGAATGTGAGCCATTCTCACCGGGGGCAGGTGGAACTCATTGTGGTTTTGATTTGCATTTCCCTGATTGCTAGTGATCTTGAACATGTTTTCATGTGCCTGTTGGCCATTTGGATTTCCTCTTTTGAAAAATGTCTATTGAGGTCCTTGGCCCATCTCTTAAGTGGGTTGTTTGTTTTGATGTTGTGGAGTTTCTTGATTTCTTTGTAGATTCTGGTTATTAACCCTTTATCAGTTGCATAGTTTGCAAATATATTTTCCCATTCTGTCGGTTGCCTCTTCACTTTCCTGACTGTTTCTTTTGCAGTACGGAAACTTCTCAATTTGATGCAATCCCAAATGTTAATTTTGGTTTGACTGCCTGTGCTTCTGGGGTGTTTTCCAAGAAGTCATTGCCGGTACCTATATCTTACAGGGTATTTCCAATGCTCTCTAATAATTTGAAGGTGTCAGGTCGTAGATTTAAGTCTTTAATCCATGTTGAGTGAATTTTTGTGTAAGGTGTTGGTGACAACTAACTGAGCACCAAAGGGGAAACTTGTTGAAGTGAAATGGACACTATGAGAAACAGTGACTTGATCAGCTCTTGTCCTGACGGTTGATGTACAATGTAATACTTTATCCATTTCAGTATTTTTTTGTTCTAGTACTATTGGTTGAACTCTGTAATTAACACACAATTATTGTTAGGTGTTTAAATTTTAACTGAAAAGTGATCCCTGTTAGGAATTTGGAAAACATTATTCTGAGTGAAATAAGCCAATACCAAAGGGACAAATAGCACTTGTTCTCCTTGATAGGTGACAACTAACTGAGCACCAAAAAGGAAACCTGTTAAAGTGAAATGTACACTATGAGAAATGGTGAATTGATCAGCCCTCACCCTGACTGTTGATGAGCAAATTGATATGTTATCCCTCTTAGTATTTTTTTTATTTGTTCTACTTAATACTTTTGGTTGAATACTGTAATCAATACACAATTCTTCTTAAGTGCTGAAACTTAACTGAAAAGTGATCACTGTTAAATATAAGAGTGGGAATAAGAGAGGGAAGAGATGTGCAATTCGGGACATGCTCAAGCTGACTTACCTCAAACGGTAGAGTTAGAAACATACCAGGGGATTCCAATTCAATCCCATCAAGGTGGCATGTACCAATGCCATCTCACTATACCAGTGATCAATTTCTGTTCACAGTTGATCATAATGATAGGACTAAGAACCAAATGGATCACAGAAACAAGAATAGTGTCTGCAAATACTAGCTGATAGAATGAAAAAGGGAGAGAACAATCCAACATGGGAAGTGAGATACACAGCAGACCCATAGAATGGCAGATGTCCTAAACAGAACTCTGGCCTCATAATCAGCCCTTAATGCATTCGGATCTGGCTGAAAAGCCCATGAGAGTATTTCAGGCATGGAAAGCCACCGACACTCTGGGAGAGAGAGAGACGACTCATATATAAGCTAAATAAAGATTCCGC